GATTCTAAATTTCAATCTCTGGATGGCTATTTCCAGGCCACCCAAATGCTAGCTAGGGATGAACGTATTACCTGTCTAGAAAATCTTACAGGAGAATTGTCGAAGCAAATCGTGGATTCTGCATCACGCCTTGAATCTTTCATGATGGATGAGATTAAAGCCTCTCATGAGGAAGTCCTGACCAGGCTGACATTTCATTTTGGACAAGAGGACAAACACTCACTCCGATCCGAGATGCCCAATTCGAGAAGGTATTTCAATCACCCTAAAGCAGTTACACACACACCTTTAGTCTACCTGACCATGGTGGTGGACAAGCAACCATCTAAAAAACACTCCCAGGGGCAGACAGCATGTACATGGCAACCAACCCAATTAAAGGATCTTAGGCATATTAAAGAATCGGTTGTCTCGTATGGTCTTCATAGCCCATATATAAAACAGCTGTTGCATTCATGGGCCACCTTTAACAGAGTGATGCCCGCAGATTGGGTAGGACTGGCATCAGCTGTCCTTGAGAATTCTTGCCAAATTGAATGGAGAGCGTTATTTAGGGAAGAGGGCAGACTCCTAGAACGGCAAGCCACCAGGGACGGAGTTGATGCACCCCTTCAAAAAATCCTAGGAGAAGGTATTTATGCTGACCCACAGATTCAGGCTGAATATGAGGACCATATGCTGTCCCTATGCAGGACAGCAGCACTAAATGCATGGGACAAGGTTCATGAATCAGAACAACTAGAAGCTTATGCAAAAATAGAACAGGGACAAACAGAACCATTTAAGGACTTCTTAGACCAATTGACCAGAGCAGTAGACATACAGGTAGCAGATCCAACGATACCACATCCAATTGTGTATAGCTTAGCTTATGACAATGCAAATCCAATGTGCAAAAGAATACTTTTGCCTCTAAAAATCACATCAGCTCCACTAGAAAAATGGGTTCTGCATACTGCCCATGTTGACTGTAACATGCAAGATGCTGGAATCTGGGCAGAAGAAGCTGTCCCAAGAGATTTCAACAGACAACAGGAGATTAGAAAAAGATAGCAAAAGAAGGACTTGGGAAGGAAGAGCACCTTACAGGGGCTCACACAGGTACTGAGAGGCCAGTGCTCATTACCACCATGACCCAGAGTCTCACATAGGAAGAGCACGCACCAGGAGTCCTGACGGAGGCGTCAGGAGAATAGATGTTTCAGCTGTGGTAAAATGGGACATATAAGGAGAAATTGTAGACAGAGAAATTCTAACAATTCCCGATGTGACAGGTCATTGCCCTCTGGGTTATGTAGGAGATGTGGTAAGGGCAAACACTGGACTAAGGAATGCAGATCGACTAGGGACTTGCAAGGGAACTTATTGGCGTCGGGAAACTCGGAAGGGGGCCTCCAGCAGGCCCATGCCCCGAGAAGAGTTCCATCATTCCCAGTAAC